GGCACGAGTAGTCTAATTGTTAATATTACTTATTTATACAGCGATAATGCGGTTTCTTTATAACAAATTGGAACAAAAGAAGAATGTGGGTTTGTTTGCTAATGGTAGCTACAAACTCGCGTTTCTCTTGAAAAAAATTCCTTTCAATAATTTATCACATGGGAGGTGGACATACGTTTTACTAGTAGAACCTGAGTTATCTACTGTTTTCTTCCTTGAGGCAAAATATGTTGAACAAGGAAACAAAGGTGCTAATTCAGACACTGAACTGCAAAATATAAGCTGTTATAAGGAAACTTTGAAGGTCTCCATGAGGTTAATAGACCTTGTCACGGTTTCCGACGCCATCTTGACGAGTTGGCAAACGTGTGAGAAATTACAGTGTTTGTATGAAAATCTAATGTCGAATAATTTCCGTAAAACGGCTTTTCTCAAAAAAATATCAGTTGCAAACTAAAGCTACTAAGGAAAGGATTGCACTAAAAAATTTTGGGGGCGTGCCTATGCTTAAATTTCTCCAGAGACTTGCTTTAGATTTTCCATATATTTGTCTGTATTTTTTCCCGGGACTTTCTTACAAACAAATGTATAGAAAATTCTAAAAAGAGGTTCTAGGTCTTCTAGGGCATGTAACGCCCTCACTTTTTTTCAGTAGAATCCTTAGGAGTGAAGCTTTAGTTTACGATTAATATTTTTTTTCAGAAAAGCCGTTCTACGGTAATTATTCGACATCAGATTCTCATACAAACATTGTAATTTCGCACGCGTTTGCCTACTCGTCAAGATGGCGTCGAAAACCGTGACAAGGTCTACGCAGATATCTTCTTGCGTAACTCTCATTTGAGGATGGGTAAACTATGCAATACATGAAAACGCCCATTGACGCCTAGACGTACATAAGGGTATTTCTATGAGAAGTTAATTTTTATTCACAGTTTGAAATAGTACAACATGTACAATTCGTGATCTTCAAAGTAGCTAGCCAGCATTATAGACAAAAACTTAACTTTTAACAATTCTTAGCATTGCAATCTTTCAATTAACAACTTAAAACTCAGGTTTGAACATTTACTTTACATCTTACGTCAACACCTGTGTTTAGTTTTTGATCTAGTTCATGCCACGATAGTCTCGCTTTTTTATTCCCCTGTTTTCAGCATCGTCAGCCCACGGCCATCTCTTTGACTCCTGCCTCCGGATTTTGTCGGCTTCTGAAAACAGTTTATCATACAAAGGGTTTTTCTCGGGATGGCCTGTCCATTCCTATAAATGAAAAATATGTAGTCACTGTGATAAGTTAGTTGTCCCGAATTACTAGTCTTTAAGCAAATTAAACACAAGTCTAATGAACCCTGCTTGAACGTAGATTGTTTGAAATATATTCTAACATTGCCCTTTTAATGAAACAATTTAATTGACTGAGTCTGAATCCGAATTTGATTGGCTTAAACGCGCCCTAACTGCCATCCCATATATGGCTCTGGTAGTGATGCATTTTGCTTCCAGAATATTCTAACACGATATTATTTTAAGAGGAGATTTCCGTGTAGTGCTTAGGAAAAACTATGAAAAAGAAAAAGGTAATACTGTATAATGATCTGAAAACTCTTTAACTAAAAGGTCATTACTCGTTTATATGCCGTAAATGCAAATGCAATGAAGAACTCTGCAACTTCTCAGAGAAAAGGAGATCCAAGTTACTTTTGCAAGAGAAATATTTAGTGGAAACGATAATTGTACGTACGTTCTGAGAGAGAAAAACTAGTCTAGGAAAGCTTAATCATCACTGTGACAGCTACTTAAATCAATGGTTTTCTTATGTTTTACAAACCTTCTTAAACTGACAACCATAGGCAATGTTCCACCCTTTACATTTTGGTTTGGGAGCTGCAGACACGACCAGAAACAGGGCACTGACAAATAGAAGAAATTTGAAAGATTTCATTTCTCCGGCGTCGATGAGCGAGCAAGAGTTGTAATTACTTCTAGTCTCAATGGTCTCTTATAAGTACAATTTATCACGGGGATCTTAATGGTTTGAATCCATCAAGGAATGTACTGGTGCAAAATTATTTCTAAATTTTCTGCTATACTACGTAATAAACAACACGATAACAACTGCCCCCTAATGGGCATTTCGTAATTCGAAGATCGACCAGGTTTTAAGACTGGTAAGCATGGACATTTCCCCTTCTTGCTTGTGCACTGACAGTTTCTGATAGTATTGGGATGGGGAGAGAAACCAGAAGAATCGACTTGTTCTGCCAGCCCTGGAAACACATCATTTGATGATGATGATGACTTGACTCAAAAGGCTATATACGACATCAACTTTCCTGCGTTTTCAAATTCCACGTCGTGTGATATGAAAATAACCAATTTTTTATTTCTCTTACTAATTAAACATACTAAGCTACCGTTACTTAGCAAAGTTAAAAAAAAATTAATTAGGAAAAGATAGAGACTATAGATAAGGCGACAATGTATGGTTGTTTGTTTAAAATTCTAGGAGATAAAAAAGGAATTCACTCTTAACATATCCAAGAAGCTTAAAACTTGCATCAATTTTTACCGAAAAAGAGATTGTAACATTGATAAAGATGTCATAATCATAGACAATTATGAACAAGTTTACCGTATTTATCTGCGTGGCATCTGGGTAGGTAATGGAAACGAAAAGAGCTCTTATTGTTTTATTGTATTTTGGCAGTGATAAAATATGTATCAAATTCACGTTCCAGCATGAAAACATAAGGTGTTTTCATTTAAATCATAATTAACCCTAACCTTCTCAACAAATCTTTCCTTTAGTGGTCAACGATTATGACAAGGACCCCTATTTCTTGCTGTGCGACATATTTAACTTCACTTTACCATCACGTGCGTTTTGATCTGATAATAAGTCTGTGTACAATACTTAATACTCGTAATAGCCGAAACTTACATGCTGGCATTGGCCGACTCTTAAAATAGACTAAGGTCAATAAATACTGATTAAACTTTGTTCAATGTTTATCCTGATTGAATTGCTTGTTATGGACTTCACAGCTATTTAAATAATCTGAATAAATAAAGGAGGCCGAATGTTTCAGTGGCATAGGTTCATCTTTACGTTGCTTGTTTTGTACTGAAATATGATCATCTAAAATTGAAATGATTAATGATTTCTAATATGAATAAAGTGGCAGAAGTACATTGTACATTTCTAATGGACTTCACAGCTATTTAAATAAGCTGAATAAATAAAGGAGGCCGAATGTTTCAGTGGCATAGGTTCATCTTTACGTTGCTTGTTTTGTACTGAAATATGATCATCTAAAATTGAAATGATTAATGATTTCTAATATGAATAAAGTGGCAGAAGTACATTGTATTTTTCTAGACCCTTTTTGAGAAAATGTTTCAATTGTTATATTGTAGTTACATAACCAACTAAAAACCTTAATATGTGAATTTAAAGAACTTGAACTGCTTTTAAACTCTCTAACATACTCATTCCTTGCTAAGTAGCGTTATGAGACGGTCGCCGAAACGTCGGGACATTATATCGTAATGATTTTAACTTATTTTTGTATCAAAAAATCGATGTTGATATATTATAGTTTTGAGAATTACAAAGAAAAAAATGATTCCAAATCTAAGGTTGGAGTACATCAATGAAAAACTAACTTGAAAATAGTCCAGCTGTGTGGTATTGTGTCGTAGTGTACGTGGGTGTCATTCATTCTAGAGCCGAGATCCATCTGATGGTGGTAATAGTTATTATTGGATTCAAATTGGTTTGAGGAATAAACATCTCTAAACTCAATACTGGCTGATAATTTTAGCTGGCAAAATTGGGTAATTATAAGTTCACTATATCGGCAATTTGATCTATTTTAACCATGACCATATTTTTTAGCATAACTGTCCCGGCTGACTGAGATAAGATTCAGTTAATTGATTCCGTGCGTGGGTAACTAACTACGGTCTTGCGATCAAGAAACGTTATCCTAATTGAGTGGTAGTATTATGTCACTATTAGAATCGCCTGCATAGATTAATGAGTTTTCAAAATTGTTTCGCAGGAAGAAGAAAACGAATTAAAAAACAAGAAGTGAAAATGTTGAAAAAATATTCTTCAAACTTAGCGAACCCCTCTTTTTTTCTTACTCGCTCAAGTTCACTACCAGCATCATGGTTCACTAAAACCATCTAATAAATTATTACAAGGGCGTAGATATCATTTCTTTGTAAACATTCTGAACATTGCCATTGTACTTCATTGACCAAAACAAATTTGTTGCTTTATTTGAGGCATGGTACTGTCAGTATAAATATTTGTTTGACAACGCAAAATGTATTTCTCTAGTGCAGTCTGTTAATACTTTGAAGATGAATTCAGTCAATTCGCTTGTGATATTCTCTCTTCTCTTGTTGTTGGTTATGCTACGTACTTCAGCACAGGGTTGTAGCGATTATGAGCGTCTGTACGGCTGTACACAAGACTCAAAAGCAAGAAAGGTTTGTTCTTAAAAATAGAATTTTTTCTCTTATTTACGTCTTCAAATTTTTTAAACTTTCTTACTCTTTGGAAACCAAGTGAACAAGATCAGGCTACAAAGAAAATGAGCTACATTGCTTTGTTAATAAAGAAGGAGAGTAAAAAGCAGAGAACATGCTCTCAAACACCATCATCATCATTCACTCAGGGTCTTGGTTTACAAAATTACTCAGAAGATACGATTGAATAAAGCGAATCCCAGGCGCAATTGCTATGTGTGTATGGAGCAACTACAGTGCATTTTATTGCATCACTATGTTTTGAATTCTCTGTTATCCACTGCTCCCACTTTGGTAAAATCGTTTAGTTTGATGTGATGAAATGAAAATGTTTTCCCCGGATGATGTTCGAAGACCATCTGAAGTCTTTTACAAACACAACCTCTACATCCTCGATACCCACCCACATAAGATTGGTTAAGTTTATAGCTATATAGCGGACGGGTCCGAAAATGTGCTGAACTTATTAAACGGTTCGGAAGCTGTGTTTTTTTACCAGTCAGTTGGCCGGCCCTCCTGAAATGATATGTTTTGATATTTCCGTCGAATTTTTCGCATTGAAATTGTTCGGCTTATTTTTTATACGGTCTGCGAAAACTGACCACACTCTGGTCATTAGCGTTGAAAGTACAAAACGTAAAATCCGTGAAGATTTTTTTCAGTTAAGTTTGGGCAAAGTCAAGCAAAGGGTTTTTTGTTTTTGTTTCGGCAAAGGGTTTGAACGGCTGAACTTTAAGACTTTGAGGGTCTCATTAACAGAATATCTTTAGATTAACAATGGCTTTCAGGTGAGAAAATTAAGTATCTATTTTAGTTGAAAGAAGTCGTGGGGTGCTATATTGAAAGAAAATGCATGGGCGGCTAATGCATATTTCATCCACCTTGGGCTAAGGGCGCTTAATTGGTGCAAAACCACTGATTTAATCATGAGCACATGATAATTACTGTACATGTTTATGGTAAAGCTTCTGATTCCACGCCTAAAACAAAAATCAGACGTGTGAGTATTTAACTCCACCAGTATCCGAGTGAGTGTAGACGGAACGTCTCCTCTGTGCTTATGATGGGTGAAGAAGACAAAGTGGTTTAACTTCAAGTGGGTTTTGCTGTAGAGTTGTCCGTCTTTACAGTGCATGTTTTTTTGACTCTCGGTCACTGAAGTTGCTGGGTTTTAATAACAATCCTTGGGAAAATTTCAATTATTAATTGTTAAATGTACTAACCCAACATTCTCATCAACTGAAAAGAAGTCATGTCTGAGGATTTTTATCTAGTACGTGCTGTCAGTTTCCTCTGCGGTATTGTAATGAAGATGATATAGAGAGCATTTTGCGCAAGGAACAAGTTATCCAAGGGTTGTGTGTCTAACCGATCTAGCTACTTACCAGTAGCTCTCCTCTGCCCTTTTACTGAAGTCACTGGGAACTAGGGATCCTTTGCTCTCAGTTTGATACGAGTTTGGCGTGTGAATTACGTCGCGTTGCAATTGTTAGTATAACCATGCTTATATCAATGCTAGTTAGATGGTCTTAGATCAGTGTTGTTATACGTTGTATAGATATCAAGTTAGAGCCGTGATTTCACTGATTTCTCGTCAAAGATTGCATGTGTGTCGGCAAGAGCAATTAGACTTGAAAAAGGGGAGCCGTGATCACTGGCATGTTTGAAATATAAACGTTATCTTCAGAACAACTCCCTTTTGTTAGTGTGAATTTTTGTCAAGTCAAAGGTTACTTAATTAAGGGAATATATTGACACTCATAATTATCTTAAAATGTAAGCCATTACGACTAAGATTCTATTTTTAATGAATGAATAAATGTCACTAATAACTTTTAAAACTTTCTTAGATTTAAAACTAGATGCTAATGTTAGAATATATAATAATCAGAGTGATGGTCACTAAGAGTTTGACATTTCCTTCCAATCTGTGCAATGAACCTCGATATTTTTACGCACAAAAATGAAGCCCTACTGCCTTGGGTATTTTAACTGCTCTCTCAATTCGGAAAAGAGAGATCTGTTACGTTTCCGTATAACTGCTATTTTTTGATAGTCTTAATTATTTACGGCCTGTATTTGAGGACGACAGCCATTTTTACATCTCTACATATTGTAATGAGAACACCATCCACTTGTTGCAAGTATGTTTCGAAATACTATATAGCCTTTCCTAAAAAGTCAATTATCATTTTATCTCACTCTAATATAAGAGCAGAATATGACTAAAATTCACATTTAATAATTTATGCCCTAGAGTGTTTTAATTCCTTCAAAATAAAGCTAATGGCGATCTTATTTAACAATTTAAACAAAGTGAATACCACATTCGGATATTGTATAGTCAAGTAACATGTTTTCTAGTTAATCAGTGATTTCAAACGCGGCAAACCTTTTTTCATTAATTCGTAATGATTCACGTGCGCTGAATCAGAGCAACTATATATTGTCAGGCTACTCAACTGTCAGGCTTTCAAGTATTTGACGGAGTAACTTCTTTAGTTAACATGCACACCTTCACGTTTCTAACGATTCTCGCCTTAATTTTGCTGATGGAAGTAGAAGGGCAACAGAACTGCGAGGGATGGAAAATACCTTATGGAGGTTGCTCTGAGGTTTGTTCTGGCTATTAAAAGTTTTTAAACTGCCGCAGTTCTAACGAACAATATTAAGGTGGGGTTACAAACTTCTTTAGGGCTAAAAGTGTTCTAAGCTACACATAGCCAAGATGGAAATCAAATATAGTAACTTGTAATAACCTGGGCCGATCTTTTCAAGTTCTTGTCTTTGTCAGCTTGCCTCGGAGGCAGTTTCTTGGTGATGAGGATGGGTGCGATTGCCAAATAACTTAAAAAAAACACAAAAATGAAAAGAAGACAAAAAGACGGGGAACAATACCCACACAACACACAAGCAAACCAACAATAATTTCCGCAACATCAAGAATCAACCAGCGACTCGCAACAAACTGAGAAGGATATTCAGTTTACTATTTATCTTATACTCTTCATATATTAATGCTAAGCCTTTCTTGCATGAACCGTGTTTATGAGCTGATCAAACCAACGGCAGCGAGTGTTTTATCAAGTCTAAGAGCTTGAATACTTAGTTGGATTCGGAAATATCCGGATCAATCGTCTACACCAATTCGCAAATTTCTGGGCTGGTGTAAACCTAGATAAAAATATTCGATAAAACGCTTTTTGCTGTGATCATGTTAAACATTGCATAATTAGAGTTTCATTTCCTAACATTGGCCAGGCTCCTAAGTGGGGACTGAACCCCTCTAGATCATGAGTTATATGTTTGGGTAATAGCATGATTTGTAGTGATATTTGGCATAAATACCATGATATCTCGAAATTATTATTCGTCATTTCACAAGCCGTTAGGCGAGTGAAATTTGAGACAATTTTGAAATATCACGAGTGGTATTTCTGCCACATATCACGTACAAATCATACTATTATTTGTTGATACTACTACCCGGAAACGGTTTGTAATTTTAGGGTATTTTTAGGTATTTCAAATTAAGCTGAAATACCACTGCTATAAGCCAATCAAATTGCAGAAATTTCATATGTAGTAGTATAAGGGAGCGAACAGTACGGAAAAACAATAGCTTAAACTCTGAAATGCATCGTTCCAATAAACTGCCCACCTCCATGAAAAAACGAAAGGATAAAAAAGTTGTAAATAAAGAATAAAAATTAAAAAAGGGAAAATAGTTTAAGCGCATAAAGCAGGTGGACTATCGATTGTGTATGTTGTACTGTATTTATTGAGGCCGTGATTAAGTTTGCAACTTTGTAACAATTTGGCTTAGAACGCTCATGGAACTGTATTTTGATTCAAATGTTCCACTAAGTAACTACCCCAATAGGTCTTTAAACAAGTCTTTGTCTCCATAATTCATAGCATTCTTCTTCTTCTGGAAATGAAATTTGTGATTCATTGACTTGTCACGGTGATCTTGAGCAAGAAAGCTGCTATGTAATCTTTCATATTTTCCTGTCGACACTGCTCTGTTGTCATCAAACTACAAAGAAAAGCACGTGAATAACATCAGCAAAGAGCATAGTACAATCAGGGTGGCTATTACGTGTTACTTACTCAAAAAAAAAACGAGTGCTAATTGGTTCACTGTTTGTCTTCTTTGATCGGTTCATTCTCTATTGCCTTTCATTAATGCTCATTGGCCCACTTTTTTGTCTTCTCTGATTGGTTCATTCTCCTTATTGCCTTTTTGTAATTTGACAGATTTTACAGTCTATCTTTGATATAGCTGCTTCATTATATTTTAATTTTATCTCTTATTAGTGATTGGCCCATCTGTTCTGTTCATTGATGTAATTAAGACTGCATTTCATATTCTGATGAATTGATATAAATTTTGAAGATATTATTAAAACTCGAGAATAATGATCATTAAATAAAATCTGATTGATTCAGCACCTCCTTTTTTCCACTTAAAAATCTACGGCGCATTGCACAGTAATTCGTGACAGCCTTATTTACACGATAGTTTTTGATAAGCACTGTCAGTATTAATGATGAAAAGTGAAAAAATGGAGAAAATATAATACGGCGACCCAGTGGGTCCGCTCCCTGAGAGACGCCGTTGGGGGGGATGAGTAAACGATTGATAATCAATTTTGAAAACGTTTGATGTTAACTAAGACCAAACAAGATCAAAATATTTTAAAACTACGGTACATTTGTGTGTGTTTGATCCTATCTAAGATTTTATAAACAAATAGAACTGTGTTTACCTTCGATAGGAAGTTATTCTTACATACTGCACGAAACTTTTTTGGGCTGAAAGAAGACCTCTTTAACAAAACAACCCCACTGTTTTGATTATTTTTTTCATATAATGATTATTCAAATGGTTATAATAAACTACCTGACTGGCACGCTTTCCATAAGCTATTCCCCATTCTTGTCCCATGGAGAGTTGGAAAACCGCGGCTAGAAGAAGCATACAAATCACGGCAAAATTAGATAATTCCATCTTAGGAGCTATTAAATAGTGAATCTGTGCAGTTTTGTGCCGTTTCTGTCAAATGTTATTAAGAAAAATTTACACGTACTTATAAGCAGGTCTTAAACAAAAGATAGATTAACTTTTATCTACAAACTGATCCGAATCACAGAGATGCCGGTTACCGCAAATTGGGCCTATGTGAACGACTATTCAGTGGAAAATTCGAACGTTTTTATTGTTTTGGAGGAATGGTTTGTTTGATTGTTAATGGTCATCCTTTTCTGTGAAGCTCCAATAGCACGCACGGGCAAAGTTCAATCTTTTCCTCTTTGGCATTGATTATAAAATGGTGGAACATTTAGATCTTGAACGTTTTTTATTTTAAAAAAATCATGTTAAACCAAAAACATCCACAAAGAAGTGGACTAACGTTTTTCAAAATGTTGATGGTTTGTTATGTAATTTTCTTCTAAAAATAATCTTACAAGTTTTGTCCAGCACTTTCGTTTGGGTGTGGGGTCATTAAAATTGCATTTGCCCATTGTGATAAATATTTTCTCGCCCTGTAAATGGATTGTTGTAATTACCAATAATAATTATAGGTAATTAAAAAGCTGATATCGCCCAGTTGAGGGAAGCATTGTGAAAGTGATGGACTTAAATTCAAACTTAACTCTATTGCGCTGCCTTACTCTTGTTGTAAAAGCGTTGTTTAAAAAGAACGACAAACATTCTCAATCTGCCAATGAAGTTGTTGAGAATCGCATATTCTCTGAATTTATTTAAAAGCGGACGAAAATTAAAGCTCATTATTTCCATTTACAGTTTTTTAAAGCTCAAGGTGCTAATGAACCTTAAGAATTTATTTCTCAAAATAATGAGCTATGCCAGTAAACGATCTCACTTGATTATTCCTCTTTTCAGTTATCGATTTGAAAACAAAATTCTCACCTGCATTGGAGCTTGATTAACTGATGTACTTACACTTCATTTCCCCACTTGCACATTAAAAATTAACACCACTAGCAATATTTTCGTTTATGTAATGGCGTGTTTTCATTAGAAAATGATGATTTTCAAATAAATATTAAAACTGGTACATCTTAAAGAGAGAAAGTTTGGGCAATATTTCTTGACATTTGATTTGTTCCAATAATCTTGATGTCTGAGTAAATATCATTTCTGTCGAGGTACTTATATTTCCCCCAATTATTTTTCCCCGAGCTGTAATAAGTTTCAGCAAGCCAATTTCCCTAAGGACGTCAGCTTACAGGTTTCAAAAAGTATTATTTTGACTTGTTTAGTGGGCAAATAGTCGTATATATCATAAATACAAATCATCTTATTCTTTGGAATTATTACAGTAGAATAAATGACTGCCCTTTATGTAAGGCGAAAGTGTCTCCATTTTCAGATCACGGAATCAATATTGATGAAGTGTTTTCTTAGGAATTAAAAAATTTGGCCTTAATAAATTTTAGCATTGACTATAAATTAACTTGACATAAATTCGCAGTGGGCAAATATTCTTTAGTCCAGTTTATGTCATCCGTGTGACTACTGAACAATGTATAAACCTAGAAAAAATGTTGACGGATGTGTTTCAAGCTCGCCAAGTACTTTTAAATTAACAAGACAAGTAAACTTACTTTGAGGAGCTCTAAAAAGCCTAGAGGCTATCATTATAAGGTAATCAACAACTCTTGTTGTTAAGCACGTTTAATATTTGTGCAAGGCCACGTTTGAAATCGACGAGGTGCCAAGAAACAAATAAAAAGTAGTTTTTGAGACATGTGGATGTTGAATTTCTGAGAACAGGTGTATTTTGTTAGCTACAGTTCTGGTGATTTCCATAATTTTCTTTTTAACAAGTCGCATCGTTTTTCTGTGTACCTGACCGACTTGACAAATAGAAAAAAAAACTAAAAGCGATTTCCACATGAAAGCGGTTTTGCAAGTTTCGTCGAAACAAGTTTAAAATCAGGCCTTTCCATTGTTTCAATTTTCAACTTTTAGTATGGACTAGCGATCGAGCGAGAATCGTGTCTTATTAATAAAACTTATCGCCTGAAGCGATGTCTTCGTAGTAAATAAACGAGCTAATTTTGGAACACTGGGGGTCGTGACACTTAAATTTCTATAATACATGCAGGTTTCAGTTGTATTAAATGCAAAAACATTTGCGCAGTCACTTAAAAGAGAAGGGGAGAGATCTGTAATGATGATGAAAACAATGTAAAGCGTTGAATTAAGCAGTAAAGTTTATACTTCATTTGATGTTTTCTTTCTATGTCAGCAAATTAATCATTTTTTTCCTCTGTAAAATTTAGCTTTTCAGGTTTTACACCGTTGCCGTATAGACCTTTGTCACGGTTTTCGACGCCATCTTGCCGAGTAGGCAAACATGTGAGAAATTACAGTGTTTGTATGAGAATCTAATGTCGAATACTTTCCGTAAAACGGCTTTTCTGGCAAAAAAAAAATCAGTTGTAAACAAAAGCTACAAAGCAAAGGATTGTACTTAAACATTTTCGGGGCGTACCTGTGCTTAAATTCCTCCAGAGGCTTGCTTAAGATTTTCCATATATTTGTCTGTAATTTTTCACGGGAATTTCTTACAGACAAATGTATAGAAAATTGAAAAAAGTGGTTCCAGGTCTTCTAGCGCATGCAACGCTCTCAATTTTTTTCAGTAGAATCCTTAGGAGTGAAGCTTTAGTTTACAATTCATATTTTTTTCAGAACAGCCGTTCTACGGAAATTATTCGACAGTAGATTCTCATACAAACGCTGTAATTTCTCACGCGTTTGGCTACTAGTCAAGATGGCGTCGAAACCCGTGTCAAGGTCTATTATCAAGTGCACTGGCCTTTACTTTTAACGCATCGTCAAGAGTGATTGGCATTCCTAGTGAAAATGATGAGTTAAAATCTTTTTTCTTTTGGTCATTCCAACTGATGGGTTTTAAGATTACTGTTAAAGATATGCTGTTTGTAAAATTTTCATACGAGTAAAACTGATAAGCCAAGTCAGGCGCATCTTGAATGAGACGCGAACCGCCATAATGAGCCTATCAGCTGCGTCTTATTCAAGACGCGAAGACATTTTTTTTGTTCTATTTGTACCGAAAGTTCGCGTCTCATTTATAAGCAGCGACGATCGAAGGCGATGGCAACGTGATCAGCAAAAAAAAATTAGGTTTAGATTGCCAAAACAACAACTTTGCATTTACATTTCTTTGCCGTCATACAACTAAGACGTGTAACTGCCTAATTTCACGTTTTGAGAAGGACACGAACACAAAACAACGACCCTGTTTTTCTTTTTTTGAACTTTGATACAGTCCTTTAGACTTCAACTCCAGAAAATTTCGCCAACATTTGACAAATTTTATGGGATAAAATAAGCGCGATAAAGTTTAAAGTAGCGCGGACTCGCTTTTCAACTGCCTTTTTTGTAGCCGTTGCGGTCGTTTTTGCTTATGAGCTCCCTATTAATCGTCTTATTTTCCGCATGAAAATGGCCCTGCAATAGAAACATGGTAAATTCCTTTTATGAAATTTCCTATTTTCTACATATTAATCAGACATTGAAATTTAAGGAACAATTTAAGCTTCTATCGTTTCTGCTATTATTGCTTCATGCGACAGACCCTCCTTTAGCTAGAGTTGTCGCAAAATTTTTACCTGCGGGTGTAAGAAATAAACAAATACGTATTGTATGGTAAAGTCACCTTAATTATAACAAAGGCGGTACAGAACTATTTCCAAATGCATTTATAAGTAATTAAACTTCAACACGAAGTTTCTGGAAAGCTGGAGATGCATGTTTTGATCACAATTTTGTCATTAGTTCAAAAATATAGGCCAAAATAAATTTCTCTTAATTTTAAAATAGCTGGACACGATATTATTAATTTGTTAAATGTGTCAGCATGTTTTCTATTTAAATGGAACATCAAATAGTAATAAAAACGAGCCCGTCATTTCCACCATTATTTATTTATTTGGCACTAACAATTTACGTTTTTAAACCCTTTGAAAACGTCATTTGTTTTTGATGAAAAAGGGCCATGATTCATGGCATAATTATTCTCGATGCAGCCAGGCTAAACTCTTTGATGGTTAATCCTGTGATAAAAGCATGAAAACATTAAATGCTGATGACGTCTTTTGATCGTAATTAGGTGCTTTTCACCACTTCGAATCTTATTAGTCGTGCTCAAGTGTAAAGTTTATTTTTTTGAAATACTATTTTACACACTTGTTTTAAACAATTTAATCTTAATTAACACAGCAAGAAATCATATTTTGTTTTAAAAAAGCCTGGCTTCAAACCCCTTCGTGGTATTAAAGAAGTAATCGACACGTCGAAGTGTAGTCAAAAGAGGAAAGTGTCGCTTCTTTTTTTAAAGTAAACCCATTAGCTTTTCGAAGATTATTTGTTACGCTTAATTTAAGACAATTATATAAAACCGTGTCTCTCTTATAAAGAGCTAAAATGTATTAGTGGTAGAATTTACGAACTCGAAGTTAAGTTCTCAGTAGTTAGGCAAAGATCGTCGGACCATCCACTATGAAAGTATTAGTGCTTTTTGCTGTCTCTGTGATGTTGCTGGAATTTCCAAGCGCCCTTGGTCAATACAAGTGTCTTTTTGGCGCCTGCAAGAGAGAGGTAGGTGCCAGATTTTGAATTTTCTCCTTCTCTTCTTGATCTTTAGGGCTAGTGTTTAATCAGGCTGCGTTAGCACTGGAGTCAGCCTAAGTGGAGATTCGACACAATTCTCACATTTGGTTCTAATACAATTGAAAATACTGCTGATTAGAAATGGTTTCATTTACCACATTACTATAGGATTTTATCCATAGATGCAAACAGTAAAATCTATCTGATTCACTCTGGATGTGAAAGTTAAAGGGTTAAAAGTTTATGTGTGCTTAGAAAAATGGAATTGGAATTTTTACCGGTTTTAAATCTCAGTAAACCTATTTTCCATTTGCAACCGCTCTCTTACTTCCGTCCTTGTATTTTTTTTCAGGAAATGGAAGACAAGCCAGCCTATTTGCCTAAAAGCGCAGAAATTGCCCCATTGAAAAATGAGTACAGACGAAACAGCCTGCGTCGATTGTCAGAATATCTGAAAACTAAGCGAAACCAGTTTGACGATGTCATGTAGTAGTAATATGCTATGAAAATCATGTGGAATTTTGTTCTCTGGCAGTCATTTTATTTCATGATTACAAGAGGTAAATTGTATCTACTGTAAATTTGTTTTGGTGTAACTCAAATAAAACATGTCAAGTCTTAACATTCAAAAGAGTCATGAAATTAAAATTTATTTCAAGCATCTAGTAAGGGCCGTGTACAAGAAATTAGCAAAACGCATTTTAAAAGATAGAATACTCAGCAAGCAAATAAATAAACAAGAAAACAACAGCAACAAAAAATTTTAAAATAGCTTGTGTGGCGACGTCAAGAATAAGAATTAACAAAAATGGAATAAAAAAGTAACTAAGAATGATGATGCTATTGAGGCTTGGTAACAGGGAGGAGAGGGAGGAGGGCTTGAAATATGACAGAAATAAAATCTTATGCTATTATTAGAGAGCTTTAGATTTTAGTACGAGAACGAGTACGAGTACGAAATTTAAATGAGAGTGTTTGCGCTTGTTTAAAAAAGAAGACACCCTGGAAAGGTTCATTTTAAGTTTTTTTTTGTCACCAAACAGTTAGTACGGTCATTCATACTGAAGGAAGTTAAGACCTCTCCCGACAACAAAATGATAAAACTTCTTACAGTGATAACTTGTTCCCGCCACTGCAACATTCTCGCTAAAACCCGTTGTAGAATGACATCGGCTATCACGTTTACCCGCCAAAATGTCGCTGGCTCACGCGCGAGCATTACTTAGTATGATTGAGAAAGTCTCTTCCTAGTCGTCCTTGTCCTCGAATCTAAAGCTCTCTAATTATCTCCTGCTTCACCTGCTTATAAAATAATATCTTAGTTGAGGGTTCTATCTTCAAGAACTTCCCTGAGAAGGAGCTCTTTGGCGTTTAAAAAAGCAACAACAACTGACAATATCAAGCCCTTTCCATGGTAACAACTCATTTCATGAAAACAAGGTCGAGTAGATTGGTATTGAGCCTCAGATTAAGCCACCAGGCATCTTGCAGTTTATTACCCCAGCGTAGAAAATGGTTACGTATTTCTGTAATGTAAAGTCAAGCTTTAGTTGAATTTCACATTTCTTTTGTTTTATTGATTGAGATTTGTATCGCTGCTTCTGTTAGAATTTAAAGTAAAATGAAATAGTATTACGAGTTCTCCTTTGTGAAAAATCATTATTGCAACATCGACGATTTACTTGTAAGAGAGAGAAAGTGATCCATAAACTAAATGTAAGTTATTTTCTTTTACCTTGAGAGTATAGAAAACTAGTGTGGGTTGCCTTGTATATCTGCTTCAAAAGGACAAATTTGTAAAATGTTCTCCATTTATGACACCTTTAAAATAGTATTTAAGAGGGTTTGAGCTTTTTAAAAAAGGTTGGTTCTCTAAAACCATTTTTGACAAAAATACGATGTCTAGACACGCTGTAACTGCTTTATAAATATTAAAATGCTGCTAATTCTGCTTACTTTCAGTTGTTGTTTTGATGCTTCCCTTGTTAATTGGCTTTAACTGGAATATTTCAGTTAAGAATCGAAAGCCGTTGAAAGTTCCAGGTGTCTTATGTTACTTCTTTATCTTGTTTTTAAAATATATTAGTGATTTTATTTGCGCCCGAAAACGTTGGTACAAAAAGCATACAAATGATTAATACCTCTTTTCACAGGTAAATATGGAATAATTAACTATAAACCTTAATTAATGTGAAATCGCCATTCCTGTGTTATTTTATTCCTACTCTGATCCCTTTGAAAAAATCTACTTTCATAAAAAACATACAATCGCTGAAATGCAGTTTACTGCAAGATAACTGAAGAGTGTTTTTGCTGTTTGAAAGATTAAAGATCAGTTCAGAACGGATTCAACCGTATATGATTGAGAGAATATTAATAACGAGGGCGCTGAGTTTATTGAACAAAGAAGCTGTTGAACAAGGACGTTAACCCCAGCTGTTTTATAAACCGACGTGACATTTGGAGAGTTTGCGAATGGGGCTGAACAAATGCTTACATGATTACATTGCTAGAAGTAATAATTTCCAAAATTCCTCTTTGTTAAGGAATGTTAACAAACAGTCGCATTCTGTTTTCGATAGCCTCGTTTAGTAAATTTTCTACGCTGCCATAGTATTCATTGCGTCATTTCATTAAAAAGCAAAGCGTCATGTGTTTTTTATTAATTACTGTTCAAAACACCATCCATAGAGCAAGCAGGTGGGAGAAAGTTTTAAAGCTTGCAAGACTTGACTCTTGATGCGAATTAGGTCAAAGTTTTAAAAATTCCTCCTAGGGACAGTGCCGAATTTCAGAGCAAATATGAATTATTGACTTCACTTTTACCCTAAAAATGGAAATAAACGTAATTAATCCCTGTGTACGCTTTGTCTTAATGACGCTCATTAAACTGGGATGAAATAGTTGTAGAAGCAGAAAATTGCTAAGCGTGTAAAGCAAGGGCAAAAGTTGACAAATTTAGTAAACAAAAGGGTTTTCAATTCGGCGATAAAAAAATACCTTTACCTTTATTTCTTTTAGACAACTTATAATTATCATGATGAACGTAACCTGTAATTATGAGGTCAATTTGTCATATGGTGGCACTAATAACTTATCCATTATAAACTCAGGAACTTAATATTGCTACCGCGTGGCTAAAACCTGCGTCCCTGACAACAAGAAGGCATAGAAGCCTTTCGGTTGCTATGATCGTTAAAGGAGCTTGCCCTATATAAAGTTGAGCTGAAGAACGTACTCAAAATGTGGAAATAAACAAATAACGGTAATGGCGTTTAGAAAATATTTTCTGTTTCTATTGCTACTAGCGTTTGTCATTTGCTTTGGGAACTGCTACGGTCAGGGAACGTGGCGCTGCTTATTTACAGTTTGCCCACAGGTTAGAAGATGAGTTTTTATACTGATAAACAATGTAGTTATGACAGTTCTAACTTAGTCTTTTTCCCACTTTGTAAAGAATTTTAAGTCTTTTTTTAGCAAGCTACTTTCATTTATGTCTTCTACCTGTTATAAGACTGACGTTTAATTACTAAGAGCTCGGGACATTTCATTTTTTGTCACTGTAATAAACTATGACATTCCTTCAACAGTTTAAAAGGAAATTGGAAACTCCTAAAGCTTCATCAGGTTTTGACACACTCAGTATTCCTTGTGGTAGATGTGGTCTTTAAAAGCAGGCTTTTTAGATACATAAAACAAATTGACGGACTTTCTTAACTTAAAACTTTTTCATTTGAGTGGTCAATAACTTCGGGATCTTACCGTGCGCGCATCATTATGATACTGCATAGTAAAATAATGTTCAAAACATGTTAATGGTCACACAAATAAAAAGCATAAGCAGTGAAACCAATCTAGTAGCTTGAAGTATTACATCGATTGATTGGCAATAAATTTGAGGTTTTATCTATATATCTGCATGGAATTCTTAAAAGCTAATCGCGCTTAATGGGTAAGAATAATAAAAAATAAATTTACATACAAAATGATAAAGTCTTTTCTGAATGCGGTACCGACGGCATCCTCAAATGGACACACACAGTAACGAATGTTTGCGGCATTTTGTTGTTATCTAACGCGTTTCAGTGTGATAATCAATAAAGATTCTTCTTCTAGCTCTCAAGCGATAATTCTTTTGTTCACATCAAATTTGTTAAAGTTTTAATCAGTAGTGCGAGTTAATTAGTCGGTTAAATTCTTGTAGATAAAAAGCCATTTTTTCAGAAATTGCAGATTGTTTTATGGCGGTAAATCGCTAGGTTAAATTACGTGCTAAATGACTCGAAATTGATAAGTCAGGAGATCTTTGTTAGTTAACTAATCGTTTTAACGAAGCGAACGTAGATTAAAATTCACTCACGGAAGTTTGCCACTTATCTGCACCCATATAAAACTGTGCCAACCAAGTTTAAGTTATTGAACATCACTCGACTGAAGATGGGATTCAAACTCTTTCTTATGTTTGTGGCCCTGACTGCTGTAATCAATCTGTCTGGTCGCTGCAGGGGACAGTCTTATTGTGTGCTTACTCCTTGTGGGAAAGAGGTTAGAACTGAAAATTCGTGTAGAAATCTTTTTTTTCATAAGTTTACACCATTTGATACCATGTCTAATCTGTCCATTCAGTATGGTTTTCATTGTAATATATAAAACAACACCTCGATTATCTTAGCTTTGTAAGTGTTGGTTTTGAACGGGTGAGCAACATTATTCACTCTTTCTATAAAATGGGTAAATTTAAAGAAGAAAAGTAAACTTATTACTTGTAACACCTAAATTCAAGCAGAAAGTAGGTAACAACCGAACTATAACAATAACTACAAAAAAGGTGCTAAAAGCTCACAAAAAGTGACGAACAACAACACAATTACAAAACAAAACAAAAAAGAAAGAGAAAGTGACTGACCTAATTCAGTAAAATTTATAATGCACTTTATTTGCATAACAAAGGCACCTCCCCGAGGCTATAAAATTCTCAGGCTTTTTTCTTTAAAACAATTTGAAGAAGAATATGACAGAGTTGAAGATACTTGTTTGATGAAAATGTTGGAAAAGAAGACTTAAAACATCACACGTGTTTAACAGATATATCGTCCCAGTCTGATCTTCGGGGACAAAAGGAAAATAATTCTAATTGCAACACAACTGTCACTTATTTGTGTTAGCCATTCCGGGCCAGTCAAGGCACGGTTAAGATGTGTTAACCGTTTGAAGGTTTGGAGTTTCTTTTTAACCCTTTAAGCCCCAGTATCAACATACAAATTCTCCAAACTGATCTCCATACATCTCCTCAAAGAATTAGTTGAGATAATTTGATAATAGGTCAAGGCATTTTCGCTTTGGTAATCATTTTATTTATTCTCATAACGTATCTCTTGACAGTGTATGGATATTGTTAGGAGAAAATTGATCTTGGTCACCATTGGGACTTAAAGGGTTAACTATTGGCTTTCTCAAATCAATCGATTTTATTTTTATTTTTAATTTTCAGGACCAGGCGAATGAACCGTCTCCTCTCAAAAGCGATGAGCTGGAACCAAACTCAATGAAAAGAAGCCACAAGATGCGTTTAGCTGAGTTGTTAAGAAACAAGCGACAGAAGGCCTACGAAGATTTTATGTTTGAAAATCAGAAAGAGTGAAGCAAGGGAAAAAAATGCATGCTGTAAAGAAGCAGATGTAAGGATAAGCAAGAAATGGTGTTTCTGAACTGAGAATCATGTTGTTATTCACTTGAATTTAAGGGGGAGAAGAAAAGGCATGTTCAACGCTAAATAAATATTGCT